GCCTGCAAACGCACCCGCTGGGTTTGTATACGTATAGCCCTTTCGCGAGGGCCAAAGGGTACTCTTAAACCCCGAACCCTAACCCCTGAACCCTGAACTCTCAAAATCCTGGACCCAAAACCCTGAACCCTTGGTGCGAATCCTGTTCTTGCGGTTCGATTGATTTGGTGACGGTGCGACTGACGGCCTTCATTCATGCACTACAGCCGAGACCTACACCCTAAACCTTAAACCCTAAACCTTACACCATAAACCCTAATTCCTAAACCCAAAACCCAATAAAGCACTACGGAAGTCCAAGTAACCATGGACTCCCCAAACCCCAACCTACCTTTCAGGTAAGCAGCAGGAAAACCACAAAATCTGAACACGGTTTGGGGTTTAGGGACGAAAAAGCTGCACTACATCCCAAAAGGAGGAATCCCACAGAAAGCCCAAATGGCCAGAATTCGACAGAGTGTTGGGGTTTAGGTGGCTCAAGCACCGGCCCCAAGCCTTAACGCAAACCGCAAAGCCTAAATCCTAAAGCCTCAACCCTGCCTGAACCTACCAAAACCTACTTTTTTGTAGGGTCCTAGTATAATCCCTAATATAGAATTTCTAGGGAACCTACAGCAAAAAAGTAGGTTGGTAGGTTAAGGTGAATCCTAAGACTTTTTCCACAGGCGCCGCTGCCCGTCCTGGACTTCGAGCTTAGGTACGCGAGAGACATGAAAGACTGGTGGGGCTCCCATCATTCGGGGTTAGGCTTGTTGGTTTAGGGTTTGGATTCTTGTGTTTCTGGGTGGAAACACCCATGTGTTATGGGGATTCCAAAGTCTGAGTCTTGTGGTTCTATCATTGGACTTATAACTATAACTCTTTAAGGGTCCAAGGCCTCAAATCATAGGGTTCTAGGGCCCAAGGGCCCATTATTTGGGTCCTTGGACTCTTAGGGGTATTTGCCTCAAGTCTGAGCATGCCTTGTTGTGACATCACTGATTTCGTGAAACTTCAAGCCAAACCCTGCAAAGCTTATAGGTCCCCCCTTATTAACCAGATAGAATACGGCTATGGGGGTATTTTATAATGAGATCCCCATATACCCCATATTCTATCTACTTAAGGGGGACTATAAATCCTACCCTGAACCTTAAACCCTAAACCCTAATCTGAAGTTTCGAAGCTTGGCCCGGTACGGGGTACTATGTTCATCCTTTCCTTACCAAGCGCCAAGCATTGTTCTCGGGTTTAGGGCTTAGGGTGTAGGGTTTCGGGTTTAGGGTTGAGATGTTGTCAATCGATTTAAGGCTTTCAGATTTTGGAGCATTCAATTGGCTGCTATCCATGCCGTAGTTGGCAAGACTGCAAGACAGGTGGGTTACCCTAAACGCCAAACCCTAACCTTGCGATTTCCCAGATAGGGCAAGACGCAAATTTCAACCAGGTGTTAACCTAAACCCCCTAGAGTAGTTGCCAGTATAGACGACACTAATGTCACTAATGATTAGTAATATGCCTGCCTAGGTCAGGGTTCCCTTTTCAATGGTTTTAAGCATCTTCTGTTTTGTGGTTAAAAGGGGTTCAGAGTACTTGCCTCCAAAGACCTTTATTGGGGTCATATAGGTTCCCCGGCCCCTAAAACCCTGAATCCCCATTCCGTTTCATGTTCCATGTTTTTTTGATTTGATTCTCCACTTTGGGGGTGATATCCCTGAATCCTAAACTCTAAGTCCTAAACCCGAAATCCTAAACCCTAAGCTCTCAGGCCTCAACCCTAAAACCTAAATCCTAAAGCCTAAACCGCAGTAGGTTTCATTTCCCATCTTCTGCCCTAAGCCGAAGCATACTTTATCTGGCTGATTAGGGTTTCAGGTTTAGGGTTTAGGGTGATCCCCTAAACCCTAGACCCTAAACCCTAGAACCTAAACCCTAAACCCTAAACCCCTAAACCCTAAACCCCTAAACCCTAAACCCCTAAACCCTAAACCCCTAAACCCCAAAGTTTGTTGCCAAGGTTGCGCAGTGTTGGGTTGGCCACGAAGGGCTTGCGTCTCAGGAGCTCTGCAGTTGAATGTGCCACAAACAGTTCCTTCACGTAATATTAAAGGTTTAGGGTTTAGGGT